GACAGGTTCAGTAATGTTCACAAAGACACTCTGTAAAGTTACAGCTGCTATGTGGATTTATTGATGCACATGGCACTTTGCTGTGGAAAAGGCAAAGTCACTGCCTGAAGCAGTTTTGAATCCAGCATGATGTGATCTTCTGCGTAACGTGTGGTAATTTTGTTGGTCCAGATTCAGCACACACACTTTGCCTCTCAGACTTGCTGTGAAAATTAGATATTTTTTATTGTTTGTCAAGCCATTTGAAACGAGAGGGATTAACCCAATGGAAAAGAGGAAATTACAAACTGTCATCATTGTAGTGTTTGAGTGATGTGAAGTAAATAAAGCCTGGGACCATGAAGTGAACAAAGGGGCAAAAACAAAACACTGAATGGTTTTTCTTTACGTGGACAGCATCCTGCCCGTGCAGTGTGTGAGGGAGTGGCTCAGGAACAAACACCTTGTGTCTGTGTCTCTGGGCTGCTGGTGCTGCAGAGGCACAAGGAGGCTGTAGTAAGGCTGCAGCTGTAATTCCAGCTCTCAAGCACTTGGCATCACACCCTTGTTGTTGTTGTTGTTGTTGTGATGTTTTCTCTGACTGTGTTTAGGATGTGTTGTAGAAGCCACCTCAAAACTTGTCCATAATGAAACAAGAGCCAATCACAAGAGGTGTTGTCCAAATACATAAGATGCTGACCAAAACAAGAATTGACAAAATAAATTTTTTTTCAAGGTTAGTAGTCAAAGCAAAAGACGGAAGGAGCTAATTTCATCTCAGATTCAGTGATTGCAATTTTTTGAGGTTTGTGGTGAAGAGGAAAAGAAACCCTTAGAAAGATTTGTTCCACAGACAGCACGTGAAAGCCTAAATGACAGGTCTCATTTTGGCCACTAAGATATTGGTACACAGGGAAGGAAGACAGCAAACAAGACTGTCACAGAAGTGGCCCTGGGGAGAATGTGAGGCTGCAGGCACGGCTTCCTTGGTGAAGCAGCCAGAGTGGATGAGTGCAGCTCCAGGATCATGTGTCCATAAAGGCACCAGAGACCTCTGGGAGCATCCAAGGCTCACTCCCACATTGATTTGCAGAGTGAATGATGTTGTTCTTACTTGGATGCATTCTTTGCTTTTTGTTAAAAAATACTTTCTTTTCTTCTACAGAATTCCCATAAAAATGAAGTTTGTTTTATTTAGATTTCAAGTGATGACTAAGTGGTACATTCAGGTGGATTTTATGAGTAGTTTCAGCTTTATTTTTCCTTTGGGGAAAATTCATCCATCTTTACCTGCAGTTCAAGGAAAAATTTTCTTTCTGGCTATAAGGGAGGAGATCTCAACTTTCTTACCTTGGTTTCTTTCCTTCTCACTGCTGTTTTGCTTTATATCTGTCTGTTATCCCATTGTGATACAGAGGAAAACTGTAAAATTCCCTATTGATGTAATCTTTCATTTTTTATTTCTGGAGGAGAAGCTTTTTGACAGACTTTTGATGGTGGCACATTCCTTCCCTTGTTAAAGCAGTGACAGACACTTTTAGCTGCTCAGTTTGCTTTCTCCAGTGTGGAGCTTTCTCACCACAAAAAGAAATAATGATACTGCTGCAGCTTGAGGCTGTGCTACTGGGAGAGTGTCCATGCAAACACCCTCAAGAGCTGATGTTGTATTTTAACTCAGTGCAGAGAGTTGCAGAGTAGCCCATGTGCAGAAATAACGTGACCTTTGCAGTAGTGCAGCTGTTGCTGTGCTGTCACCCAGTGTCTGGCCTGGCACAGGAGGCTCGATGTGGAGAGACCTTTTTGCAGTGAGACATAGCCCAAGGCCTCTGCTTAGCAGGACTTTAAGGCATGCAAGTACTTCATTGATGTTGACACTTAAATTTACACACTTTTAAGCATTCTGGTGAGCAGGGACTTGAGGAGAAGCTGTTCTAGTATGGAACAGAAATCATGGGAAGCCCTGAAGAGAATGTGTAAGCTAAAGCATTTGCAACTTTCAAGGCATTTCTTTTGGGTTTTTTATTGGTTTTGGCCCTAGGAATGTTTTTGGCCCTGCAGAAGAGTGTTTGAGCTTTTAGACTGAATAGCACTCTGACTTTGTGCAAACTGGGTGCCATCAGTGCTGTCTGATGGTGGGGAGCCTTTGTTTTAGGACACTGCATCATTTGAGAAGTTTACTCCTTAGTGTGGACATAATAAATTGCCTTCATTTAGGAAGAAAATGAGGAGCAGCGCACCTGGGACAGCTCTCCACAGGTGCCACCTGAGTGCAGCAGTGTGTCCTGTGCCAGGGCTCTGGGGCTGGGTACCCAGCCCTGTCAGCCTGCAGAGAGCAGTGGCTTTGCTGTGGGAGCTGCTCTGTCCTCACTGCTCCAGCTCTGCTGCTGCAAACGAGTTCAGATTAACCCCAACACGAGCAGTGCTGGAGTTAATCTGAACTCGTGGAGGGGAGAGGCAGAAAACTTGTCTTTCACTGGTGATTTCCAGCAGGCAGAGCGTGCTCTTAAAGCACCACCAGGTTATCAGAATATATAGTGGGATAGATGAACTTCTCCTTAGGACAGGGGACAGTATGATGAATGAGAGACTCGCACTGACAGCTACCAGGACACTTCTTGGATAAATATGTCATTTATCTTCTCACAAAGCACATCCCTGTTCTAGGGTATCAGCTGTGTCAGTGTTAGGAATAGTACCAAAATCCAGACAGTAAAATCTCTGAGGGACATGCAGGCTTTGGTGTTAGCATGGTTTCCACCTTCAGCTGCAGCCATGACTTGGTGAGTTATTGTTATTGTATTTGTAGGTCACTGTATGCAGATAATTTTTAACAAATGCAGCATATTTACTTTGTGCCAGCTTTAGCAGCCTGATTGCATATGATGTGTTCAGGCCATAGGGAAGAGCAGCTCCTCCTCTCCTCCCCATCACTCACACGTGTCCCTCCTGCCACTCGCCCTGCTCGGAGCAGGAAGCAGGAGGAGAGGGGAGCAGCCCTCACTCTCCTTGTCCATGGCTCCTTGGGCTCTTCCCCAGGGCAAGGACAGGGCAGGTACTTGGTGTGGCAGAGCCCCCACCAAGGGACACTGTGGCCATCCCAACTATTCCTTCAGAGAGATGTGTTTTTCTAGAGCACTGCTGTCTGTTCAGGCAGGTCACAACCCTTGTCTTTAAGGCCACATTTAGAGAGGATGAGGCCTGAGCAGTTTTTACCCAGCCCCTGGGTTCACACTGAGCCAGAGCTCAGGCAGCTCTGCAGGAATTCAGCAGCCCCATCAGGCTAACAATGCCACTGGCTTATCCCATTTACTGAGTCCAGGAGAGATTAACTGTGTACTAGCACACAATCCAGGGGTGCCTGTCCTGCAGAAAGCTTCAGGTATCCACTTTACAAAATACAGGAAAAATATGAAACAAAGCATATATTCTTTTAAGCAGCAAAATAGGTATCAAAGATACCTGGACTTAGACTCTGGAGGGAGTATGGCTCTTAGTCTCTGTCCAAAGAATTACAGTCTAATAAATTTTAGCACAATTAAATAGATGATAACAAGGGAAATTAATCTGTAAATAAACTTTAAACCACAAGGAGAAGTTTATTTCTGTCTTGTCACTAGCTGACTTTTGTGCATGATAAGACCAGAAATATTTTGGTCATTATTATGCATCTATTATGTAAACAGGAAGAATGGCCATCATCAAAGCTAGTTTCATTTGTGTGCTAGCAGACTGGCATTTCTGTGCAGTTGATTAATTTTATGCTCTGGGACTGTGACCACTCTGCCTCTGGACACTATCATAGACAGGCTCAGCATGTCAGAAGGGCTTGGGGCAGAGGCTGACCAGCAGCAGCTCTGAAATGTGACTCAACCTGCAGCTCAGGAAGTCCTTACAATGCTGACTGCTGAAAGGATGAAGGGTGTTTCAGGGGAAGGGTGGTTGTTTTCCTTTGGCATTCATCCCAGCCACTGTCAGAGAAAAGATAGGAGGCTAGATGAACTTCTGGCCTGATCCTGAATGGCTGTTTTTGTGTTGCAAGGATATTGTTTAATTATTCAAGAGCCAAGAAAAAAATCTTTAGAATGGTATGGCATCAATGAAAAATGGTATGAGACTCAGACAACTGCACAGGTTTTGACTGAGGTGTTGCTGATTTAATAAGCAGTTGAGACTTGATGGAGTTTACTGTCACTCCAAATGCATTTTCAAAGTGTGGCTTTAATTTTTGGAGTAAGATGTCTCCAAGCTGAGAGCTGTGTGCCACATCATTTGTTAGCAAAGTGCCAGGGCTACTGGTAAGTACATTGGTGAGGAAGTTGATGTGGAAATGAAAGATGGCAAAGACTTTAAAAGCATTAATGAGTTGGAAACAGGTCAGCAATAGAGTCCTGGCTTGTTAAAGATGTCCTCTTGATTCAAAATAATTGCCAGAGTAAGTTGGGCTGACATTCTCAGTGCCACAGACTGAGATGAACTGCAGAATTAGAAATTAATCACAAAGTGTCCACTACCTTCTGCTGCTAGGAGGATGGGGAAAATGTCCATTTTTAGCATTACTGGCTGAAATGATGTTTTAATGCTTTCACAGCCTTTTGAAATGTAACCCACCCCATTAAGAATTGCTTCATCATTGTGAAATTATATTGGGCTAGACCCTCAGAGAGTGTAAGTGCCAGAGAATTGTCTATATACAGTGAATGAGAATCCATCCCATTAATCTTATTGCTCCTCTAAGAAAGCAGTCACATCATCTAGACCTTCCTTCAGGCCAAAGCTGCCAAGAGAACTCAGAAAAAAGGCCAATTTACAGATAAGGAGGTTTTCAGTCAAGCCTGGGGACCACTTTTTTCCTATTTGTTTGCTTCTCCTCTTAACCTAAAACTAATTTAAGGAATTTAATGTTTTGTATTTTGAATAACTTTTCTTCTGCAGATAGATTTCTAAAATGACCTTTCCCTAAATTCTGTTTAGTGATCCCTACATTTAAGGGTAATATGTTTTGTTTCCTACCTCTGAAACAGGGGAAAAAAACCAAACAATGTGTGCCAAGTCATGAGAAAGAAGATTTCATTAGATGTGGGAAACTCTGAAGATGATGAAAAATGTGGTAAGATTAGATTTGGACAACTGCACTTCAGTAGTCAAGTCTGCAGAAAACAAAACAAACCTGAGTAACTGAGAAACTCTTTGGGGGAAAAAAAACACCACAAAGTTTTCTCTAAAAGTCTTCATAAGTCCTCTTGCTTTTGTTGTTGCCTCTAAATTAGGATATAGGTCATATTGCTCTATTGCAATGGAGTACGTCAAATAGATGGTATCTGTTGGGAGAAATTTTCACTAGTCATGCAAGATCTCATTTATTTGGGAGTTTTTCATGCAAGTAATTCCATCAACATTAGTCCATAGGCTCTGAGTTTCATGAGACAGTTTGTTAGTTCACCTGATTTCATCTTGTGTGCATTATGGGCAATGAAATTTTCAGTCACCACCTGTGCTGAGCCCAGGACAGTGTGTTTTAAAAAGATTATGTAGTTCAGGGAGTTCAACTTGCCTTGATCTCAAGGTGTGGAGAGCTGGAGAATTCACTATTTCTGAGAGTCGTGTCTTCCAACTGTTCCAAACTGCTGTTTAGATTCACTCTTTCAAACTGGTATTTTGTTTGCAATTAAAACTTTCCTGGATACCCCTTTCAGCTCTTTAAATGCCTCTCCTGCTGTGCTAAGAAATCTTCCACTTTCTTGCTTTTCTTTCCAGTGAAATCCTTGTACACTGCATTGTAGGCACCTTCCAATTCTCTTACCAACAAACTGAACAGACAAGTCCTTGAATTCTTCCTCTGACCTCTCCCTGGCCCTCTTAAGGTGTTCAGCCTGTCTGCCTTTCTCAGCTGGTGTCGAGCCCAACATCTCAAGACTCAGTGGCTGTAACAGAATTAGCTGCATAATTAAGGAAATTTTCACAGAATCGGGACCAAAGCTGGTAAATCTTGGATTTGGCTAAGTAGGTATAATTCCATCAGCTGTGAGTCCCTGTTGGGTAGGATGGGAGCTGGACTGTGCCCCTGCATGGGCGCAGCATTAGGAGAAGTGTGGTTCAGCACTAGATGCTGCCAAGTGGTTCAGCTGAATTTGCTGCAGTCAGCCAGTCTGCATTTGGCATACAAAGAAACTGCACACAACTTGCTAAAATGTAATCACTGAGTCACATCATTGACTGCTTAATCTCTAGGAAAGTTAACTTTTTCGGTTTTAAAAAGATTATGTAGTTCAGGGAGTTCAACTTGCCTTGATCTCAAGGTGTGGAGAGCTGGAGAATTCACTATTTCTGAGAGTCGTGTCTTCCAACTGTTCCAAACTGCTGTTTAGATTCACTCTTTCAAACTGGTATTTTGTTTGCAATTAAAACTTTCCTGGATACCCCTTTCAGCTCTTTAAATGCCTCTCCTGCTGTGCTAAGAAATCTTCCACTTTCTTGCTTTTCTTTCCAGTGAAATCCTTGTACACTGCATTGTAGGCACCTTCCAATTCTCTTACCAACAAACTGAACAGACAAGTCCTTGAATTCTTCCTCTGACCTCTCCCTGGCCCTCTTAAGGTGTTCAGCCTGTCTGCCTTTCTCAGCTGGTGTCGAGCCCAACATCTCAAGACTCAGTGGCTGTAACAGAATTAGCTGCATAATTAAGGAAATTTTCACAGAATCGGGACCAAAGCTGGTAAATCTTGGATTTGGCTAAGTAGGTGTAATTCCATCAGCTGTGAGTCCCTGTTGGGTAGGATGGGAGCTGGACTGTGCCCCTGCATGGGCGCAGCATTAGGAGAAGTGTGGTTCAGCACTAGATGCTGCCAAGTGGTTCAGCTGAATTTGCTGCAGTCAGCCAGTCTGCATTTGGCATACAAAGAAACTGCACACAACTTGCTAAAATGTAATCACTGAGTCACATCATTGACTGCTTAATCTCTAGGAAAGTTAACTTTTTCGGCACAGGGTAGATCACATCAGCAGGATTCTTTCTTATTTATTCCCAGGTGCTGCTAATGCCTTCTGCTCCTCGTGCTAAAGAAACTGTGGGCAGTGCTGTGGGAGCTGCTTTGATGTCATTGCACATTGCTTTTACACACACATCAAAAATGCAAAAGCACAGCTTGTTTACTATTGCTTGACAAAGGGACAAGTACACTTAAATCAAAGAACTTGCCAATACCAACATCTGAGCATGTAGGCTCCATTATTAGACAGATCTTTGGGGGCTTTAAAACATGGTGCCATGTAACAAAATCCTCAGATGCCACAAATGAGGCTATTCCCCTTACTGTACTTGGCAGGAATCTGTTAAATGAGAAGCTTTTCCTTTGGCAGCTGTGCCAGGAGGAATAAAATGCAATGAAAAGGGCGTGCCAGTGTTTACTGACTGCACAGCTACACTACAGGCAGAGTTACAAAGTCATTTCTTGTCATGCCTCCTGTGACAGTCAGGCTCCTGCTCAATGTTCTAATTTCCTTGATGCCCTCTTCCCAATGTGTGATGTTCCTTTGAAATATCACTATTTATTCAGTTGACAGCTGTAATGTCAGTGACAAGGAAAAATAATAACTGTGTGTTGCTTTGTAAAAATAAGTTGGAAGAGAAAAAGTCAAAGTCCTTGGTGAGTTTTGAATTGTCATCTCTCTGTTCTGCTCCAGGAAGGTTTTCTCCATCTGATGACCCCCAGAATGACTTTGTATATTCAGTTCATGTACATTAGGTGATCTTCTGTTCTTCAGCATTAATGCTTTTCTGACAAATCAGCAAGGAAATTGGAAGACACTGTAGCCTGTAAGGCAACAGTGGTATTTTTGCTTCAGTCACTTGATTTGACATTTCTTTTTCAGAGAATCTGTCCAAAAAAAGCATCCCCTCTCCTCCCCTTCGCCTCTTTTGACTCCAAGCAGAGCTTCCCACCTGTATTTCTGCTTGCTTCCTTTGATACTTCTAAAGCACCATCTTGAAAGTGAGAATGGGTCTAATGGAGGAGTTTCTTGTCTTTGATTCTGCTTTGGATCTGAAAGGCAATAAAGAAGATTTTCTAAATCCCCTCTTATCTCTGTCACCTCAAGCCCCTCTCAAACAAGCAATGCAGAGCACTTGCAATTAAACCCCAGGCAGAATTTCTGCTGACCTTCAGTGTCCACAGGCGTTCACTCTCCTGAAAACCTCCTCCAGACTGTTCAGACTAAAACTGAAGTACCTACATGGAAGGGGGAGAGGAAATGAGGGGACTGAGCAGGTGTGACACAACTGTAATTAATCATAGGAGACCTTTCATCTTTTTCTTCATTCTTGGGACCTGTGGAGTTTTAACAACCAAAATGAGTGCAGGGGGCTCCAAACATAGCTGAGAGTTTTGTGTACCAGGTTTCTGTTCACCTGCAGCTAGACAGTCATTATCTGCTTTCAAAACCCTGGCAGCTTAGCTAGCTCATGAATCTCTTTTTTGAGGAGAAGAAAGGGAAATCAAGCTGCATTTTCTGCATTCTTAAATCCTTCTTTTCAAAGTAGTGGCAGTTTTGACAGAGAAAAGCAGTTACTATGTAGCAGGTAGCCAGAAAGAAATACAGATAATTTCATGGACAGCTTTGTGCTTACTCGAACCCTTCCTACCAGGGAAGCAACAGAAGTTTAAAATGACATTTGTAAATTATGTGACAAAACAACCATTTTCTTTCCTGTGGGTGGTGATGGGGTTCTGATTACAAAGCTCAGTGCTGAAGGCACAGACACAATTGAATGAGAAATGCTGTGCTTTCCTAGACTTCTTTGTACTTCAGAATAATTAGTTCAGAACACTAAGACAAACATATTTAATACTATTTTGTGTTTTGGAAAAACAACAATCCAGACTTCTCTTTTTCTTTTGTGCCCTAGTGACTGACTAGCTCAATTTTCTTAGTAAGTTGTCTCCTGGAGCACTTGTTAAGAAAGGAAGCTGCTGAGTGCTGCTGGTGCACTCCCGTGTATCCCAAGGAGAATGTGTACAAGATTATGATGGCACTGAGATAATAAAAGTAATGATGGGTTGAAATCACAGAAGGGATGAGACTCTGGAGCAGCTGTGCAATTCAGTGAGAGCATTGAGCATCTGGTGAGGGTATAGGTAGCCCAAAGGTGTCAGGTATGTAAACATAGTGTGTGTTTCTGTGAGTACATAAATTCCCAGAGAACTGTCTATCAGAGTATCAGTGCCTTACTAGTAGCCTGGTAATTGTTCACTGCTTTCTATTGATCTTCAAATTTCATAAAGTCAAGATCAATTTCCTAAGTAATGCTTCTGACATTTGTAAGTAATACCCAATATAATAATTGATCTTGGGTCATCTTGTCTGGGACTTACAACATTGTAAATGTCCACTGATCAATATATTCCCAAATAGTGCTTCAGTGATACTTCTTGGAAGCAGATATATGTGTCATAGAAGCAATGTTCACTGCAGGAGCTGTCTTGAGAGCCCAGGAAGAAGGGCCCAGTTTTCCTTCCCTGACCATCACATGCCCATCTGCTCCCTGTAGAGTTGTGGATTTTCCCTGGGCCTATAAGAAATTCTACACCTGTATTTAAGAACTAGAGTCTTTCTTGGAAAGCAGCTTGGTGGGCATTGTAATAAAGTATGTCCAAAAATTCCAGTTTGGATTAGACAGTAAATTCCATCACACTTCAGTGGAAGTAGTTTGCCATAATTTTCCCAACCAGTACTGCCTGTTCATGAGTCCTTCTAGGACTTCTCAGCCAACCAGTCTGGCAATGAAGAGAGAGAGATCAGTCATGATTCCTTCCTTAGATTCATTACCCTACATCATGCTGAGAGCACCTGATCTGATTCTCTGCTGATTGTACTTCCTTGAAGGGAACTGAAATGTGTGTTATTCTTTTCTATCACTGACAACCCAAAGAGTTAAAACAGAAGTCAGGCTCCAAAATGCATGAGAGAGTTTTAATATATATCTAAATGCCAGAACAGTCTTCAGGCATTGTTGGACACTTCATCATACTTGAATTAGATCACTGAACTTCAGTTTTCTCTAGAGATCTCTACCACACAGAGGCCAAGTTTAGAGCACCAGTCTCTGCAAAACATACAGTGGGGTCCCACAGTGCCATCCCAAGAGCAGGCACTGGCACTTTTCCACCTTCTGAAGCTTCAGCATCATCAGCTTCTCAGCAGAGAATATGATTTAAAGCAAAATTGTTTCTGCTTTTCAGCTTGAGCCTGTCCCCTGCTCTGGCTGGGTTGGTAAAGTGGATGAAGGATAAGGGGCATGTCTGAGATACCCAAGAGCATCAAGGGAGGATGTGGGCATGGTGTTGTCCCAAACTGCCTCTTCCCCTTGTTCCCTGCTTTGGACACAATGGTTTGTTTTTCAGCTATTCAGCTTGAGAAGTTCAGTAAGATTTGCACATGGAAAAATTACCCCAGCCTGTTCTGTGTGCTCTATAAACTGTACTATAAACCAAATCAGATGCTGTCATTGTAGCATGAAGTTGTTCTGGTTGACAGGGAAGCTTTGGAGTGCACTGAGGACAGGGATCATGGCTCTTGCAATCAGATGCTGTCGTTGTAGCATGAAGTTGTTCTGGTTTGAGAGGGAAGCTTTGGAGTGCACTGAGGACAGGGATCATGGCTCTTGGTCTCCACTTGAGCTTTTTAGTCGCCTTTGAAGTTCTACTGCCTGGTTGTTTTTTTCTTACAGTAAACACAAAAGCCAGCGTGGCTCTGGCTGATATCATTAAGATAAGCAATAGGCAGCTGTGTGCTGAGCAGCTCCTGCTCCCTGAGGTCACAAAGCAACCTTAGCAGCAGCCTGCACCACCACTGCCTGCTGCTATCCCTTTTAATCCCTTCTGTCATTGGATACCCTTGCTGAAGCCAACAGACTTAATCACATCAAGTTTACCTCAGTGTAACATTTTCACTTGTCCTCTTGGAGCTAGCACTGTGGACATTTGTGTCCAGAATGAATCCTGGAATATGGATGCTATTTTAATCTCTATATGCTCCACCGGATGGAGGTTCCTTTTGATAAAAGTCTGTGTGGAAGTTTTGTACCAGGAAGCTAGGAAGACAGTGGCAGCAATGCTGTGTCTCTCTGCTGAGCAGTCTGAAAAGGTGAAATAGCAGCCCTTTGCTCATGATAGGAAGGTAACACGTCAAACATTGCAATAGCTTGTTTTCCTCAGTCCTGTGCAAAGAGGATCTCTCAAAGCAGTGGTAGTTGGCACACAGGCCATGCTCTCTCTGAATGAGACGATTTTTTCAGTTTGCCTTTTAAAGTTTGATGTAAGTCTCTGTTAGGTTTCTGCACGTCAGTACCCAGATTGGAGCCCAGCATTCTGACTCCTCATTATGACACAAGCATTGCTGCCACACGTGGCAAAAGGCACAGATGCATCAAAAATACAGAGCTCATTTCCTTGGACTTGAAGGCTCACCTCTGTGAGGGGCTGGAGTGACAGAAACCACACATACTGCAAAAGCAGCAAGATCCTTTTCTTCCTTCCTTAAAACCAAATAAGTTTTCAGAAACCAAGGATCCTTTCAGCTGGTCACTGGCTGTGGATGTGACTGGAATAAGTGCTTGGATGGTTACCAAGGCTCTGACAAACAGGGTAAGGGCAGGGAATTCCCCCAACAGGAAGTTGATGGATACTGACGATAACTACGAGAAGCAGTATGTCATCTGGTGACACCCTCTGTGCAGGGTTGGTTTCTCATTACTACAAGCCAAGTCATGTAGAACTTGTAGTTTGCCCTTTACCATAATTTATATCCACTGGGACTCTAAGCAGATTCATAAAAAATGGCAACCAATCCATATCTATCATGTTTTATGTTTGGGCAAAGAATATGGATATTACTTTTTTTAAAGTTTCATGAAATATCTGCTCTTATATTCATAGTGATAGATGACTCTGCCAAAGTTTTATTTTAAGATGGGTTAGGGGGAGCGTGCAGAAGAGGGGGATGCTAAAAGAAGGATGTTGACTGCAATTTTATTTTACTGAGGACAAAGAAGTCATAAACCCTTCCTGCCTTGGGGGAAGTGTATGCAAAAGGCTCTCTGGCATAGCCAGAGCTATCTATATAACAGGATAATATTTTCTACAAGGTTTCTTAAATACATTTTGTCAAAGTAAATTGATCCTGACAGAAGCCTTCCTGTCACCATGATGTTCTCTCTTGATCAGGGCCTTCCAGCTCTGCTGAGATCTGCCAGATTTACAAATCTCTCCTGGGAACTGGACAGGGTCTTTTGA